TATATATATATATATTTATATATATCGGGTGGAACAGTTCTACTTACTCAAGGTTCAGTTTGTATCACGGTTTTAGAGTCACAGTTTCGGTATGGTTTGGTATGTGCTATGTTTAGGGAAAAACTATTCTGTCAGTAAAGAAAATAAGAATAATCTATCTAACTACAAGCAACAGCACAAATAAATACAATAGAGTAAAGATACAAATAAAATAAACAGTGATTTTCAGGTTTTTTTTAGGTAGGTCTAAGATTAGTTTTTAGGTACAGAAATTGAATAAAGTAAAATAAATGTAAAACAGCATTGCATATATTCGACTGTATAAATTAAAGATTAATCTTGATTAAAGTTACAAAAGCTATTCAATCAAGAGCAGTGAGTGATTTCTTTGTTGTTGCTGTTTGATTAATATTAAGAAAGTGCTGTCACTTTAAGACACTGTAAGTACGTTCAGCCGGCTATGTCTGCTATAGGATACTTACCAAGACGGGCATTTTGACATCATTTTTGTGTGAATTTGTCCATTTAAACACAATACTTCAGAGAGAGCTTAATATTTGTGCACGTTCTGAGGCGTGGGTTTGCACGCTTCAGATGATTGCATGCAGAAATCTTCTCACTGCGCACGCGAGCTCGCGTCCTCTGGCTCCTAAATGTTTAAACTGGCAATGCTTAATAAATGAGTTTAGTTTAAACACAGATAACGTGTGCTGTTCAGGTCTCACCTGTGCACGCGCTATCAGCACCCGGGTGATGACGGAATAAATGAGTGCTCATATTCCAGCATATGGCATTCGCATTGAACAAGAGTCAATGGTTTGTCCACTTTTTTTTCATCGCTGTTGTTGTAATGTATTGGAAAGCCAGAATGCACATTCATCAACAGAAACATACAGTATCGGTACCGAACGGTTCACGGGGCAAATTCCAAATGGAAGTGATCATCCCTATCCCCTTGGAGTGGAGATTTTGGAGTGAGCAGGGCACGTGCGTGCCATTATGTAGTCGTTTGGAATGCACTTGGCAAAAAGAGCGACATAATTTCCTCATTATCTTCAGCTGGCATGTTCCCGTGACAACGCAGCACGGTGTCCGTCAGCAGATTTAGCTGTTTTACTGTCATAAATGTATTTTTATTGTTGTTAGCATAACTGTTGCAAATAAACATACATTTTATATTTAAATTTTTTTTAAATACTTTTTAAAATGCGCAGTATTACTGGTATTAAAAAAAGTTTTTAAAATATGCTATATAATATATAAAAACTAATATACAGTATATATATAAATAACTTTTTAAAATATAAATTTTTTATTTTTTACCGGTGTGGTGTCCATCAGCGAATCTGCTGATGGACACCGTGCTGTGCTGTCACGGGAACATGCCAGCTGAAGATAATGAGGAAATTACATCGCTCGCTTTGCAAAGTGCATTCCAAACGACTACATAATGGCACGCACGTGCCCTGCTCACTCCAAAGTCCCCACTCCAAGAGGATAGGGATGATCAGTTCCATTTGGAATTTGCCCCGTGAACCATTCTGTACCGATACTCGTATCGGCACATCCCTAATATATATATATATATATATATACACACATTATAACACAATCATTCTTTGTCACAAATGCATTTGTGAATCTTTCAAAGGTTTCTCTCTATAGTGGACTATTATAAAGTTACCTTGTTGGGGTAGGCTGACCAACATGACCAACACGTATAAAAAATTTTTTTTTAAAAGACCCTGAAGAAATGTGACAAATCTGTGATCTGAAATGTTGTCCATCAAAAAATAATGAGTACAGATAGCAGATATAAACATATCTTAAAAGTCTTTTGATGCCACTGACCTGGAAAAGTAGCAAACTCAGTTTTTAGTTCTACCTCAAATGTACTCTTTGTATCTAGCCGGTACCTTGTAAAAATGACTGTTTCCTGATGGACGGATTTACGGGATTGAGTAAAGCCCATCCAATTAGACTGAAAGTGAAGATTGTCAGATCTTGCCATTTTTGTATGCAGCATATTTTAGACAGTCAGTGACTCGATTGTGGGCAGCTCATAGGCGTGCCATCTGAAGCTGAGCCTATATTGTAATTACAACAAGATGTAGATCCCTGACACATGTAGATAGCAATCTTTATCTCTGGGTAAAATGAATGAGCCACTTAGACTGACTCAGTGAGGCGTGAGCTTTCCCTAATCTTCTCTCTTATATTTCAAGAAGAGGCAATTTTCTGCTAAATGTCATTACAATGTTTTTTGTAAGTATACCAGCAAAGTGGCTCCATTAATTGTGGTTGGTTTTGAGGAGATAATTTCCCTATGTTAAGCAGGCTGTAAAAACACATGGCTTAGAGTATAATTACAGGCACAGACGCAGGCAAATTTATCTGCTGCTCGCGTACTACTATGAAGCTGTGAGTCATGTAAAAAATAATTTTCCTTTTGAAGAGCCGTTAAGCGCATGCCACACGTCAGCTCACCCAAAAGAGCAAGCAATTCAGCAAGTCCAACCAGATATGGGTGACAGCATTTATGCTCAAATAAACTGAGGGTTAGCTGAATATTTCAAACAACAAATTAATAACACAGAGGATGAAAGGAAAGGATGAAGAGCAGGAAGTGACACGGTGCTCAAATTTCAAGCAAATTTCATGGGTAAATGTGCCTTTCAAATACAAATGTATGCATTAATCATGCTAGGAAAATCCTGATAGATTGGGAAATATTCTAGTAAAACACTCACAATAACATACTGAAAAATTGTTGCTTGCGAAAATGTATGTTGTCAGAAACCAGGCTTATTGCCAGCAAAACTTTAATCACTTCCATTGTTATAAAACAAACAATCCAAAAAGTAAAACTTTTTTTTAGACCTTGGAAAGTTTTCTAGAAAACTGAAACAAAATAAATCAGAATTTTCCAGAATGACTATGTATATAGTATTTCGATGCTATGAAGTTTTTCAGTCGGTTGGTGATGTTCTGGAACAATGCATGTACAGAACAAGACAAGCCAGGCTGCTAGATTCCCAGCAGGAGGCCACATAGACAGCTCCAGGAACAACATTCTGCAAATTAATCAGCAACTGCAAGAAAACATTTATAGCTGAAGTTATCAGTTTTACCTGTCATGGGTAAAAAAGTGACATCACAGAGGAGATGTAATAGCATGTGTGTGAGTGTGTGTGTTTGTTTGTTTATACATGTGGGTGCGTCTGCATGAACAGTGAATTAATATAGTTTATTTATTTGGCATGAGGGTGTTCAGTTTAGACTGCTGAGACGGCCAGTGGCCTGTTTTCCTACGTGCAGTTAAAATAGACTCTCACAGTGGACAGCCACTCAGACTCGGCTATTTACAGAACACACACACACTGCACATGTAAACTCTTGCCAAGGCTATTTGTGCGCACACGTTCAAACTAAAATATATGAAAATGCACCATTTAATTAAAGTTATAATAAATCGTATTCCTCACATATTTAACTTATTAGCAAAAAATGGTTACCAAGTTCTCTAGGTATACAGTATTGCTGGTTGTTTCATGATTCTACAGAAGATGTAGAGAAGCAAAAAATCCTACTGTGTTTTGCTTCTCTACATTTTGTGACCCAATAGTAACAGTATATAACGACATGAGAATAATAATAATAATTATAAAATGTAATTCGTAAAATCATGTTCATCAGCTGTATGTAACTAGTAAAATGTAAATATGCTCAATTTCACAATAGTCTACCTTCAGATGTACTGTATCTAACCCTTTGAACTGTTTTTTACAATTATTTTGTAATTTGTAATCTAAAATCTTCTTTTCATCAACAGCTAAATTAACATCTAAGATCTAAGTAAAATGTACAATTCATGCGAAGAGCAAAAATCTTATTTGCAAAAACATAGAAGGAAAACTATATAAAGATTTAAATAAATAAAAACACAGGATTAAACTTCATTTATTGTACTGTATGGTACTGTGAAGTGTAAACTATACATGGGAATTTGACAGCCCAGAAGAGACAGTGTTGACCACAGATACATAAGTCACTGACAGAAGCACATTCAGCACTAACCGTTAATAACACTTATGACTGCAGATTGTCACATTAATGTAGCAGCGGATACCAGCAACAATCACTTACAGTGCTGACAAACACAAGTTCATATTGCTAGAGACAAGAGAGGAACAGCTACATAACACCTCCATCCATTACAGAAAAATACTACCGATTGGCATCAGGGATCATTCATTCGTTTATTTAGCATTTTGATTGTTATTGTTTTTCTATTTTTTAATACAATTTGATGCATATTTACATGGATTAAATGTATTTTACAAGGTTATGCGTTTGGATTGACCTTGATATGTTTCCTTCTACATATGGAACTTTACTTCTTTTACTGATTTTAACAAACAATTTAAGGGCATTTGGCAAATTACTTTAGAACCATTGTGCATGTAGTCACCACATTCGTGGTTTTGCACAGCTTGTCAGTGAACAGTAGCTCTGTGTAGTAAATGCTGCTCCATGTGAAAGCACGCACGTGATGGAGATTTACTGCTGATTACAGAACTGGCTTTACTGACAAGATAC